CATCTACACACCTCAATCCTCACTGGGGGCGGAGCCTATCCTCACTAGGGGCGGGGCATATCCTCACAACAGCCATCATCTGCACACCTTTAATCCTCACTGGGGGCGGGGCCTATCCTCACTGGGGCATATCCTCACAACATCCATCCATCATCTACACACCTTTAATCCTCACTAAGGGCGGAGCCTATCCTCACTGGGGGCGGGGCCTATCCTCACAACATCCATCATCTACACACCTTTAATCCTCACTGGGGGGCGGAGCCTGTCCTCACCAGTCACTGCAGCTTGTTTTTATAAAACCTTCATGTTTGTGGATCCAGTGTGTTGATGCACAGATTCAACGTTCACACAACGTCCACACAACATTCACACACCGACCAACAGAGGAGCGATGACTAGGGGAACATTTCCACGTCTACATTTTGTTTTGTTTCATTTCACATCGTTTCCGTCTCATTTCAGTGATTTTTGTCGTCTTGTTGTTGTTTTTGTTTATTTTATTTACTGACCTGTAAACTCCTGAATCAGCTGATGAACTGTGTGAGTCGTGATTTCTCTTTTCTTTACGATCCTGTTTTTTCAGGACTAAATGAAAACTCAGTAGAACCTGATGAAGTTCGGTTCTTCTGATCAGCTGATTGACGGTTCAGTTACAGGATAATTTAATAAAGTCTTTAAAATGTGCCACAGTTTGTTTTAAAGACGAGAAATGTGATTTTAAATAAGAAAAACTAAACGACTGAACTGTGTCCTGAAGCTGTTTTGTTTCTCTTTGTCTGTTTTTCATTTCAGCTGATCAGCACTTGAACGTATTTCTAACATTAAATCAACACGTTTGTTGTTTTACACATTTATTTATAATCATTTCATTGATTTTTTTTGTATTTTTTTATTTAATTTTGTGTTTTAATGATCAGAAGGACGTGTTTTGTAGCGTTTGATTGTTGAAGACAATAAATTAGTCCTTTAACGAGTGAACTTTGTGCCGTTTGATTTTTCCGTCTTGTGTCGGAGCTTCATCTGGAGGAAACAAAAAGGGAATAAATCACATTTTAAACTCTTTCAGCTGCTGCAGGTTATTAAACCATCAGGATTCATGCCTTTGCTGCACGTTTGAGGCGTTTTTCCTGCTTTATTTCCGGTGATCCTGTTGGATGGTGGTTCTGCAGCAGCTTCATCCTAAAATCATACCGCCGTCATGTAAACGTGCAGCTCGGCAGCTTCCCGCCGTTTCTGCGTCTCAGCATCTTTCTGGCGAGTCGAGCTATTTTTAGTCGTGCTGACTCGGCTGAACGCTGTGCTTGCTGTTGCAGAGGGAGCTGTTCGACATGGAGCCCTGGGAGAGGCCCCGCGAGGAGTTCAAGCTCACCAAGAAGCTGGGAGAGGGCCACTTCGGCCAGGTGTGGGAGGCCGTGTGGAGCGCCGAGAGCAAGAAGGTGGCCATCAAGATGCTCAAGCAAGGTGAGGAGGCGGCTCGACTAATCCAGGCTTCAGTGGAGTTAACTGGATCAACTAAACCTAGAACCTCGATAATCAGGATCTTGATTTGTTCAAACAGGAGCTGTGAGGAATTTAAATGTTGATGACGTGAAAAGAACGTAATTATTCAGTTAAACTTGACATCTAGGAAGTGAAAGTTTTACTGATGATTTTTTTATTTTAAAAAATTACAACAACACGTTTTTTAAAAGTGTCAATAACAGCAAATATCTGTAAATATAAATGACAATAAATAATTAGATTTTTTGTGATTTATTCACTAAAATATTTTTCTAATTTAACAGTCAAACCTTTCAAAATAAAGCGTCACTGACTGTAAAACAACAGATTTTTAATGTTTTTGTTGCTTTGTTTAATAATATTTGTAATTTAGCAAAACAGTAAATATTAGTAAAATAAATAAAATAAAATTTTTAAAAATAGATTATTTACCATTTTTCTAAATCTTTAATATAAATAATATTTCTGTAAATAATCGTGAATATCTGTAAAAATTAAAACAAAATATTATTGCTGATTTAAATACAGTAAAAGAATTTAATGGGGAAACAAACTAAAAACTAAGAATTAACGTTTGTAAACGAACAGACTTTCATCATTATATATATTATGACTAATATCTGTAATTGAACAAAACAGGAAAATGACCTCTATGAACAATAATAATAACAATAGTTCTCCTTTAAATAACAGCAGATGTTTGTTTTAGATGATTTAAATACAGCAAAAAAAAAAAAAAAAGATTAATTTCAACGTTAAATGTTGTAAAAGTCTGAGTTTCCATTTATCAAAATACAGATTGTTATTGTTGATTATTTACCGTTTTGGCCTGATGTTGTTGTTGTTTATTTTTGGAGGAGGTAAACATATAAACTAACTCTAGTTTTTCTGTTACTTTGCTCGTTATCATCTGTAATTTACTCAACTGAGAAAATGTGCATTTAGCAGGAAGTTGTTCAAGAAAATAAAGTTAAAAGGATCATTATCCACTGAGATCGATGTGTTCAGACCCGAGTGTTGTTGTTTCCCTCCAGAGGACACGAAGCAGGACGAGTTTGTGAAGGAGGTCCAGGCCCTGAAGAGCCTCCACCACCCCAAGCTCATCCAGCTGCTGGCCATGTGCTCCAGAGGAGAGCCGGTCTACATCGTCACCGAGCTCATGAGCAAAGGCAGCCTCAAGTCCTACCTCACCTGTGAGTCAGCGCACCACCTGAACCTAGTCACACCTGAACCTGAACGCACCACCTGAACCTAGTCACACCTG